TAGCAATGCCTTGGTCCCATTCTCAGAGTAATTACATCAGAATCTTTGAGTATGGGGCATCAGTGGTTCTTTAAAACTCCCCAAATGATTCCAATATACAGCCAGAGTTGCAATCTACTGATACATGTAGTCTAGGCAAACTACAGGCTGTAGATGACTACCTCATAGCCATTCCTTTACATACATATGGATGCCTTCAGTCTACAAAGACAGAGCTGAGAAGTTGAAACAGAGACCATATAGCCTGGAAAGTCAAAATATTTACTACTTAGTGCTTTACATAGTCTATTGTTTTCTGAAAAATAAGGCAAAGTCCTGTTACATATCAAAAATATGAGGAAGAAAATAGAGACTGCTGATAACATTAATAAGAAGTAAAACTGTTTTTAAATAGCAAAATGTACATTGTAAATATATTCTCACCAAGGCTATCATTTAAAAAATAATTTCTGTATCTTCAGTTACTTACTTGAAAGAATAAATTGTTTCTCATACCTTAGAGAGTTTTCATGATGAAAATCTGGTCCTACAATTCTATATAGCAGAGGTGGCATGTTGTAAATTAGCATCCTCTCACCATCTTTTATTGTGTTTTCTTAATAAATCACAATATCTCTATCAGTTCAGTTCTTCTATAGCAAAAACTAATGAGATAATAGACTATGTGTACCAGACTATCTAGGTAATAACTTCTTCATTTAGGGAGATCTGACCAATGTCTACAAAATGCTTAAGATTTTAATAAATAATCATATAAGATTTTTGCAAATTAACACATATTTAAGAAAACAATCAACAATTGATACCTTTATCTGAATATTCTCTAAGTAATTAAGCTGAGTGCATTAGCTGAGAAATTTAGAATACACAGAAATTCAGGTTCAGAATAAAGCTATTATAAACCAAAAACAGTATTTAAACTGAAGCAATGTAATCTATAATTCTTAAAAATGAAAATGAATAAAATCATGTTCATATCTAAAAACAATTATTTAATACTTTAATTTTAATGGTTTAAAATATTTAAGATGTCAAGATATCAGTACTAATTAGAAAAAGCCCTTTTAAGATTGCAGAAATTGGCAAAATTTGAATACTGATTATAGGTTAGATATTAGTATTGTCAATTTTAAATTTCCTGATTTTGGTAATTGTACTCAGATTATGTAATAGAATACTCTTCTTATTAGAAAATATACACTGAAATACTAGTGAAGTGTTTAGGCTTAAAGGGGTATGTATGATGGCTGCTACTTTCTCTTACTGGATCACAGGGAATATATATACATACGTGTGTATGTATGGTGTGTGTATGGGTGTGTGTGTGTGTGTGCGTGTGTGTGTATAGATATGTATATATGTGAAGAGAGAGATACAATGATAAAGCAAAAGTAAATGTTAGTAATTGTTGAATATGGATAACGGGTATATGAGAGATCTCTCTACCATTCTTTTAACGTTTATGTAAGTTTGAAATTATTTCAATACAAAAGTTAACGGAAGTCCTTTTGAGATAGAAACTAGTAGTAAATGCAAAATATATTCATTGTTAAGTTAGTATTAGGTGACCAAAAGTAAAAGAAAACAAAATAAGTACAACCCAAGTGGAGCTCATTCTTCAAAACAGGTATATTTATTAGGTTATGTGATTGCTTGAAAATTCTATGAACAAATAAATTTAAAGCTTCGTTAGGTTCTAACAGTTTCAGTAATTTTTATGGTCTTATTTCTAATATGGTATATTGCAAATTTATATAAATAAAATAGCCATAAGACAACAAATTTATTGAATACTTAACTCATTGTAGAAATTAGTTTGATCTGTGGATCCATGGGGACAGGCTGTATTCTAAATGGATAATTCTTTTTAACAGAATAATCTTGAAGCAGAAAAACTAAACCAACTCGCAAAATTTTAAACCACTCAGGACACGGGGCATTCCACATAATCACCGACACCATGCCTGAACTGTCAGCAACCTCCAAACAGGTCTAGAAAAAAAGAGTAAAAGCATATACATATCTGTCACTTTTATGTATACAGATGGTATATAACATATTATCTGTGATCATTTTAGAAAATAACATTTAATTTTTAATTATTAATAATGATTCAGTTGTCAAATCTGCTAATATTGGTGATCTAAAGAAGAGACAGCCACCAGATCCATGGGAGTACTAAATGTGCTACTAAATTACTGTGTGAAGGAAGCTCTGAGGACACAGGCCAAATCTTATTTATATTTGATTCTTCCATAGTATTTAGCATGGTGCCTTAAAGAGTGATCCCACAACACATTTGTCAAATCAATGAGACAAATCGCATGTTACAAGTTTTACCTTAAAATTTTGACATCATTCTTGGTTATCTGAACTGTTAAATGGCTTTGATATTAATATTTGAGAACTTTAGATAAACATATAATTGAGTGGGCACAATGCCATCAATACCCTGGTTACATTAATTTATTTATAGCAATACACAAGGCTGGTACATAAGACATGGAAATAATTTCTGAGACATTATTTGAGAAATAATGCTATCAGAAAGGGGAATGTTAGAACAAATTTATTGCTGACTCTGAGTATAGTTAAAATACAGAAATCTGTTGAGGTAGAAAGTATCTGATGGAGTTTTTCTCGGTATTAAAATACAGTGACAACTTCAGCTCTGCCTAAAAGGCAATCATTAATGTGGTTTCTAATTCTTAATTTCTTCTTAAATAATGATGTTATTTTCTCAGACCCTTTCTCTTAATGATGAATATACATTTTGGGCAATTCATTTTTTATTCATTAAACATTTACTGGTTCTCTACTCCAGACATTATGTTAGGCACTGGAATGAAGAGATGAATCAAACGTCATTCCTAATAATAATGACTAAAATATATATAGGACTTATGTGCCTGGAACATAGGTAAATTCTTTACTTATATTAACTACTTCAATCCTCACATCAACCCTGTAAGGTAAGTACAATTAGTATCCATATTTTATAGATGACTAAACTGAGGCTTTAAAAGGATAAATTTCCCGATATCATAAAGCTAAGAAATGGTATTCGGTTCATATGACTAGAGGAAGTGCACTCTTAAGCACTATAAAATACTTCTTCCCTACAGTCAGAGAGCTCACAGTAGAGTAAGGTTAGCAAATCTATTAACAGATATGTATAACTGGGTTATACATGCTCTATAATGGGGTCCTGAGTAGCATGTAGTTGATTCTCCTTAGTGACTAGGCATATGGGTATACATGGAAAGATTTAAATCAGAGGTAGGCACTGAACTGAATCTTAAAGATGGCTTTGCCAATCTGATGATAATTGAAAGGAAGAGCATTCTAGGCAGAAGAAGTAACATAAGTAGAGGTATGAAAAGTAGAAAACAATTGATTACCATTAGAAAATTCCAGGTAGGGCACTTTGGTTATTATGGGGCATAGAAAGCTCAGGAAGAGATGAAACTGGAGAGGCAAGTAGGGACAAAATGATGAAGACACAAAGAGACAGGAAGGCAACAAGTAAGTGGAGTTTAAAAATATTGCAACAGTGAGAAGGCAAACAAATATCAAGGAATGACTGAATAATTTATGATATCATTTGCTAAAACTTTATAACTGTAAAGTTATGAATGATGAATTTTTAGTGATAAGAGCAAATATTTAAGAAAATGTAAAATAATACAAAACTGTATTCAGAATATAGTTCCCATTTTTTAAGAGAACATCATTCTCAGCAAACTGACACAATAACAGAAAATGAAATACTGCATGTTCTCACTCATGGGTGGGTGTTGAACAATGAGAACACATGGACACAGGGAGGGGAGCACTATACACTGGGGCCTGTTGGCTGGAATAGGGGAGAAACAGTGGGGGATAGGGAGTTGGGGAGAGATAGCATGGGGAGAAATGCCAGATATAGGTAAAGGGGAGGAAGGCAGAAAATCACACTGCCACGTGTGTACCTATGCAACTATCTTGCATGTTCTTCACATGTATCCCAAAACCTAAAATGTAATTTAAAAAAAATAAATAATAAAATAAAAAAGAAAAATTACTGTAATATATAACATATATAGTTACATAAAATATATGATACCTGTACCTATGTACATATATGTTACATTTATGATATAAATATAATAGATATGTATATGTAAATCTAGTTTATGCTTATATATGTGTATATAAGTGATGTACACACACACACAAGAAAGGGAATAAAACACACCATGTTAACAGTGGCTCTCTCTGAGTAGTAAGATCTTCAAATAGCTTTCTACATTTTCCAAATTCCCTATAAGAAGCATGTATACTTTTGTAATGAAAGTTTAATGAAATATGTAAAATAGTTCTTGATATCATGGGAAAATACAGTATAATATTAAGAAAGAAAAAACAGAACACAAACATATCAAGGAAGTAGAGCTCACGAGCATTATGCAGTGTGGAGTCAAAACAATAGAAAAATATCACACAGATTTCACAGTTAGAGTTACTAGTGAATGATAAACTAAGGAAAAAAGAGTGTAGACTACTTCTTCAAGAAGCTTATCTGAAGAGAAAGAGATTGGGAATAAAAGAGTCATAAGACCAAGGCAGATTATTTTACTTTCTCTTTTAAATGGGAGGCTAGAGTATGTTTATATGGTGGTGCATAAAGCATAGCTGAGAAGAAAAAGTTTTAGGAAAATAAAAAGGTGGGAAGAAGACCACCTAGATCAGGAAAATAAAGGGCACCAATACAGAAATAATTTTGTATGTACAATAAATTATGCAGAAAAATACAACATATATTTATGTACATTTTAAAATTACATTGAAGTGACTTACGCTATTTAAACGAACAGGTTATCATACTATTAAGTGTGTAAGTTATAATTTATAACCTTAAATTCACATAGGATATTTTATCATTACTTGTACTTGATATGGTTCAGTCATCTTTTTATCAGGTTTCCCATAGTCTCACCATTTTTGATTTATGTATGATCCTCATAAGCAATGCAGGAAAATTTCTTCTGTTAGCTCAGGTCATTTCAAGGTGAGAAAGGGAAATTATTTTGGTATCTAGAATGTAAAAAAGAGAAAAGAAATTCTGTTTTACTTGTAATGATAACTTCAAAGATCTATTTTAATAGTTAAAAATAGTAGCCAAATTATACCTAAAGCGAATCCTTCTTGCCAGCTAAACCCTGCCAACTAAGTCTATATACATTTCTCACATAAACTACATTTGATCCCTAATATTAACAGCTGAAATATGTATAAGGCTTACCATGTGTCTGGAACATAGGTAAACCTATATTAACTAACACATTGTTCCATCTAGAATGCCTTCCATCTTACCAAATCATTTAATAATTTCCTGGAAAACCTGGATCTAAACTCACCTCCCATAAGATATTTTGTGAAAAAACAGAGCTCAATGTCATGGAATGTTATTCCCATTACTAAGCACTTATATATTTAATTTATACACGATGACTTACGCCTATAATTTCAGCACTTTGGGAGGCTGAGACCGGTGGCTTGCTTGAGCTCAGAAGTTCAAGATCAGTCTGGGCAACATGATGAAACCCCCTGTTTCTCCAAAAAGAGAAAAGTAGCTGGGTGTGGTGCATGTGCCTATAGCTCCAGCTACTCTAGAGGCTGAAGTGGGGTGATCACCTGAGTCCAGGCATCTGAGCTCACTGCAGCAAGGCTGAAGTGAACTGTGCTCATTCCACTTCAGCCAGGCTGCAACGAGCCATGATCACACCACTGCATTTCAACCTGAGCGATTGAGAGCCTGTCTCAAAATCTATATCTGTATATATTTGTTTTATTACACTTTTTTGTATTGCCTCCACCTCAGTTTCATATGTATAAATTCCATCTCCCCAAAATATACCAGACATGAGCCTGTATCAGGACCTTTACACTTGTTGTCTTCCCCTTAGATATGCAAGTGACTTTCTCACTCCGTTTTGCTCAAAGGTCACCTTCTCAGTGATATTATCCCTAACTATCCTATTAAAAACTGACCCCTTTACTTATCCTCCATTCCACTTTATTTTTCTAGATAGCACTTACTATTTTCTCATATGCCATATGATCTACTGAGAAACATTTTAATCTGCAAGCTCACTGACAAGTTGAAAAACTTCTTTAAACGTATTTATCAATTTAAATAATTAATTTGTAATCCCGATGTAGTCTTCCTTGGATTAAGAGACGATCCATCTGCAACTGTCTCCACATTTTTCTTTCTCACAGCCCACAGTCTCAACTATTAAGACTTGAATTTGCATTATTACCAATATTTATTTTGCTAAGGCTCCCTTCATTTCTATCTCTCTTAACATAATGTTTTACCTAGTCAACGCTTTTGACAAGAAAATCACACTTGTAATTTCTTTTTAATAAGGATTTAAGTGGTATTATATAATTATGCCCATAACACAAAAAACACACACAATTTTCTTTCAGATTCTCCCAATAAATTACTAGCCCAGAATCACAGATCCTAACATTCTATCTGATATAGTTTAGTGATTTTATTTTAATGTCAGATGAATCTCAGATGAGCTTTGAATTGTCTTGATCAATGGAGTACTCTTGATAAACGAAGACACGTACAGCTCCTTTATTGTCTGAAGTAAATTCAAGAGCTACATAGTTTGTAAAACTAGAGTTCTAAGAGCCTCTGTTTCTGTTATAATAAGGTGCAGAGAGTTAGGTGTAATCAGATGTCTTTCTGGTTAACATTTTTCCCAGTTTAGGTTTTTAACTTACAAACTTCAGAGAATACATATTTTATCTCTCAAATCCAAAAAGAATTAGAGGCTGTCTATAGACAAAAAAGAATTTGTTTAAATTTATAAAATAAGCATGTTCACTATCAAAAAAGAAATAATAAAAATAAATAAACTGGATATTCAATATGCAATAGAACAGTGATTCTAAACGTTACGGTCTCAGAATCCCTATACATTCTTTAAAATTATTAAAGATCTTCAATAGCTTTTTTCTTTTGTTGAGTTGGAGTATCAATCTGTTTCTCAGGTGGAAGTGCAGTGGTATGATCTTGACTCACTGCAACCTCCACTTCCTGGATTCAAGCAATTCAGTCTCCCAAGTAGCTGAGACTACAGACGTGCACCACTATGCTAGGCTAATTTTTGTATTTTTAGTAGAGATGGGGTTTTACCATGGTGGCCAGGTTGGTCTCCAACTCCTGACCTCAAGTGATCTGCCTGCCTCAGTCTTTCAAAGTGTTGAGATTACAGGTGTGAGCCACTGCTCCCAGCCTGAAGAGCATTTTACTGCACTATAAAGCAAACTAAGAACTTTTTAAAATTATCAGTTCATTAAAAATAGCAATAATAAACTAATACGTATAATTACAAGTAACTTTTTTTTGGTAAAAATGTAAAAATGACAGTATTTTCCAAAATTAAAAGTGAGAAGTGTGGTATTGTTTTACATTTTTGCAAACTTTGTTAGTACCTACCTTAATAGATGAAATTGGATTCCATCCAATTTTGCAGGTGGATACTCATATCTTCTTTGATATTTAGTTGGCTTCGGTGTCACATGTCATTTAGCCTCTGGAAAACTACACAGTATACTTGTGAGAGAATAAGGGTGAAAAAAGGTGAGTAAAGCCTTAGTATTGTGAAAATAGCTTTGACCTCATGGATCTTTTGAAAATGTCTTGGGGCACCACTAGAGGTCCCTGGACCATACTTAAAAATTATAGCAGAAGAGTAAATTTTAAAAATGAAGAAGGAATGAATATTAAAGCTAAAAATAATGAATCAGAAAACACTCTACCACAATTAAAAAAAACCCAACAGCACTGATAAATTCAATTCTCTGGAAAAATTAATGAAAAGTTAAATCTTTCACAAGTCTAATCATAAAAAAGAAAACAAAAATGTAATACTCAGAATACACACAAAGAAAAATTATTTAAAAATTATTATATATGATTTTATATCAGTAAATTTTAAATATCAGTGACATAGTTAATCTCTTAGAAAAATATGAATTACCAGTATTGCCATAAGAAGCAAAAGAAAACTAAACTATGTTTTCACTCATGGAAGAAAATGAAAAAAAGTTCACTAGGAGAGGCCTCAAGATGGCGCTGTGAGAACAACCCAGGATTGGAGCTCTCGTTGAATCCGCAAACAGGTGAGTCGGAGTTGCATTTCCAGACTGACCTTTGTTGCCCACAGAACGGAGAAACTCCCAAGTATAAAAAAGACACGGGACGCCAGGCAGTAAGTCTGCCTGGAGAAGCCGGCAGCCAGGGCGGTGGCGGCCGGCCCTACCCAGCAATCCCCACAGGGCGCGCTTGTCTGGGTGCCCTGTTGAACCGGCAACCTGAGACTTGAGAGGGCTGGACTTGAGACTGAACAAGACTTGGACAGTAGGGGGATTGCAGGGACAGAGCGTTTGGGGTACCCAGTAGGACGAACAAAACCGCGATTTCAAACTATCCCGAGCAGACGGTCCGAGACTCTCTGTGGGGGAGGGGCGTCCACCACTACCGAGGCAACCCGCTCCAACTGAGATACACGCCCACTGCTGACGCAGCCAGCCGTTGCCGAGGCAACCCGTCCCTACTGAGATACACGCCCACTGCAGACGCAGCCTCCCATTACCGAGGCAACCCGTCCCTACTGAGATACACGCCCACTGCTGATGCAGCCTGCCGCTGCCGAGGCAACACTCTACAATGAAGAGACTCCACCGCAGGGCATGGCGAAGACCACAGCAGAGCCTGCAGGAACAGGGCGAATCACACAACAGCAGGGCGGAGACTAGGCAGGCAAACAGTGGCTAGTCTGCCTCCTAGCTGGGCAGGACACCTCATGGACATCGAAAAATAAAGCCGAACCCCCCAACACTGAGCATTTGAGAAAAACATAGCAGCCTAACAGCCCTGAATGAACAACAGAGCTCACAGCTCAGAAATAGAGCTCCTAAAAAGAACAGACTGTCTCCTCAAGCAGCTCCCTGACCCCTCTATATCCAAAAGACTGACATTAGGCAGGCATCATCCTGGGACAAAGATAGCAGAAAAAGAAACGGGTAGCATCCCTCACTGTGCCACAGCTGCTAGAGGTGCACCCCAGACAAGCAGGGCCTGGAGTGGACCTCAGCAGTCATACTGTGAAGGGGCTAGGCTGGTAGAAGGAAAACCAAGTAACAGAAATACTTCATCATCAACAATCTGGGTGTCCACTCAGAGACCCAATCGAAAAGTCAGCAACTACGCAGACGACAAGCGGATAAACCCACAAAGATGGGAAGAAACCAGCGAGAAAAGGAGGAAAACACCCAAAACCAGAACACCTCGCCTCCTAGAAAGGACAAAAATTCCGGGAACAAAGCTGGACGGAGAATGACTGTGACGAAATGACGGAATTAGACTTCAGAAGGTGGATAATGAGAAATTTTGTGAGCAAAAAGAACACATATTAAATCAATGCAAAGAAACTAAGGTACTTAAAAAAGATATGAGAAAATGATAACAAGAATGGATAACTTAGAGAGGAATATGAATGAATTAAAGGAGCTGAAAAACACAATAGGAGAACTTCGCGAAGCATGAACAAGTTTCAATAGCCGAATTGACTAAGCAAAAGAAAGAATATCTGAAGTCGAAGACCAACACAATGAAATTAAACGAGAAACCAAGATTAGAGAAAACAGAGCAAAAAGGAATGAACAAAGTCTCCAAGAAATGTGGGACTATGTGAACAGACCTAACCTACATTTGATAGGTGTACCAGAAGGGGACGAAGAGAATGAATCCAAGCTGGAAAATACGCTTCAGGACATCACCCAGGAAAACTTCCCACTCCTAGTAACACTAAAATGCAGGAAATACAGAGAACACCACAAAGATATTCTGCAAGAAGAGCAACGCCAAGGCACATAATCGTCAGATTCAACAGGGTTGAAATAAAGGAGAAAACACTAAGGGCAGCCAGAGAGAAAGGTCGAGTTACCCACAAAGGGAAGCCCATCAGACTCACAGCAGATCTCTCGGCAGAAACACTACAAGCCAGAAGAGAGTGGGGGCCAATATTCAACATTCTTAAAGAAAAGAACTTTCAACCCAGAATTTCATATCCAGCCAAACTGAGCTTCAGAAGTGAAGGAAAAATAAAATCCTTTGCGAACAAGCAAGTACTCAGAGATTTTGTCACCACCAGGCCTGCTTTACAAGAGCTCCTAAAAGAGGCACTACACATAGAAAGGAACAACCAGTACCAGCCATTCAAAAATCACACTAAATGCTAAAGAGCATCAACATAATGAAGAATCTACAACAACTAACAGGCAAAACAGCCACTTCAAAATGGCAGTATCAAATTCACACATAACAATATTAACCCTAAATGTAAACGGACTAAATGCACCAATCAAGAGACACAGACTGGTAAATTGGATAAAAATCCAAAACCCATCAGTGTGCTGTATCCAGGAAACCCATCTCACATGCAAGGATACACAAAGGCTCAAAATAAAGGGATGGAGGAAGATTTACCAAGAAAATGGAGAGCAAAAAAAAAAAAAGCAGGAGTTGCAATTCTCATCTCTGATAAAATAGACTTTAAAGCAACAAAGATCAAAAGAGACAAAGAAGGCCATTACATAATGGTAAAAGTATTGATAAAACAAGAAGAGCTAACGATCCTAAACATATCTAGACCCAATGCAGGAGCACCCAGATACATAAGGCAAGTTCTTAATGACTTACAAAGAGACTTAGACTCCCACACAATAATAGTGGGAGACTTTAACACTCCACTGTCAATATTAGACAGATCAACCAGACAGAAAATCAACAAGGATATCAGGGGCTTGAACTCAGACCTGGAGCAAGCAAACCTGATAGACATTTACAGAACTCTCCACCCCAAATCCACAGAATACACATTCTTCTCAGCACCACATCACACCTACTCTAAAATTGACCACATAATTGGAAGTAAAGCACTGCTCAACAAATGCAAAACAACTGAAATCATAACCAACAGCCTCTCAGACCATAGTGCAATCAAGTTAGAACTCAGAATACAGAAACCGACTCAGAACCGCACAGCTTCATGGAAACTGAACAACTGGCTCTTGAATGTTTACTGGGTAAACAATGAAATGAAGTCAGAAATAAAGAAGTTCTTTGAAACCAATGAGAACGAAGACACAACATGCCAGAACCTCTGGGACACATTTAAAGCAGTCTCTAGAGGAAAGTATATAGCAATAAGAGCCCATATGAGGAGAATGGAGAGTTCCAAAATTGACACCCTATCCTCAAAATTGAAAGAGCTAGAGGAGCAAGATCAAGAAGACAAGAAATAACTAAGATCAGAGCTGAACTGAAGGAGATTGAGACACAAAAAATTCTTCAAAAAATCAATAAATCCAAGAGCTGGTTTTTTGAAAAGATCAACAAAATAAACAGGCCACTAGCCAGATTGATTAAAAATAAAAGAGAGAACAACCAAATAGATGCAATAAAAAATGATAAAGGGGAAATCACCACAGATTCCACAGAAATTCAAACCATCATCAGAGAATATTACAAACAACTACATGCACATAAACTAGTAAACCTGGAATAAATGGATAAATTCCTGAACTCCTGCATCCTCCCAAGCCTAAACCAGGAGGAAGCTGAAACTATGAATAGACCAATACCAAGGGCAGAAGTCGAGGCAGCAATTAAGAGCCAACCACACAAAAAAAGCCCAGGTCCAGACGGGTTCGCAGCCGAATTCTACCAGACACACAAAGAGGAGCTGGTACCATTCCTTTTAAAACTATTTACTTCCCAAATCATTTTATGAGACCAACATCATCCTGATACCAAAACCCGGCAGAGACCCAACAAGAAAAGAAAACTTCAGGCCAATATCCATGATGAACATAGATGCAAAAATCTTCAATAAAATATTGGCAAGCCGAATGCAACAGGAAATCAAAAAACTTATTCACCATGATCAAGTAGGATTCATCCCGGGGATGCAAGGCTGGTTCAACATACACAAGTCTATCAACGTAATTCACCACATAAACAGAACCAAAAACAAAACCACATGATTATCTCAATTGACGCAGAGAAGGCATTTGACAAAATTCAACAGCCCTTTATGCTAAAAACCCTCAATAAACTCGGTATCGAGGGAACGTATCTCAAAGTAATAAAAGCTATTTATGACAAACCAACAGCCAATATCATACTGAATGGGCAAAAACTGGAAGCATTCCCTTTGAAGTCTGGCACTAGACAAGGATGCCCTCTTCCTATTCAATATAGTTCTGGAAGTTCTAGCCAGAGCAATCAGGCAAGAAAAAGAAATAAAGCGTATTCAAATAGGAAAGGTGGAAGCCAAATTGTCTCTATTTGCAGACGACATGATAGTATACCTAGAAGACCCCATCACCTCAGCCCAAAAACTCCTGAAACTGATAAGCAACTTCAGCAAAGTCTCAGGATATAAAATCAATGTGCAAAAATCACAAGCATTCGTCTACACCAATAACAGACTTAAAGAAGGCCAAATCAAGAACGAACTGCTATTCGCAATTGCTACAAAAAGAATAAATACCTTGGAATACAACTCACAAGGAACGTAAGGGACCTCTTCAAGGAGAACTACAAACCACTGCTCAACGAAATCAGAGAGGACACAAACAGATGGAGAAACATTCCATGTTCATGGTTAGGAAGAATTAATATCGTGAAAATGGCTATACTGCCCAAAGTAATTTACAGAATCAACGCTATCCCCATCAGAACTGGAAAAAACCACCATGAACTTCATATGGAACCAAAAGAGAGCCCGCATAGCCAAGTCAATTCTAAGCAAAAAGAACACAGCTGGGGGCATCACACTACCGGATTTCAAACTATACTACAAGGCTACAGTAATCAAAACAGCATGGTACTGGTACCAAAACAGAGATATAGACCAATGGAACAAAACAGAGGCACCGGAGGAAACACAACATATCTACAACTATACAATCTTTGATAAACCTGACAAAAGCAAGCAAGGGGGAATGGATTCCCTGTTTAACAAATGGTGTTGGGAAAACTGGCTAGCCATGTGCAGAAAGCAGAAACTGGACCCCTTCCTGACACCTTACACTACAATTAACTCCAGATGGATTAAAGACTTAAACATAAGACCTGGCACCGTAAAAACCCTAGAAGGAAATCTAGGCAAAACTATCCAGGACATAGGAGTAGGCAAGGACTTCATGAACAAAATGGCAACAAAAACCAAAATAGACAAATGGGACCTAAGGAAACTCCACAGCTTTGGCACGGCAAAAGAAACAGTCACTAGAGTGGATCGGCAACCAACAGAATGGGAAAAAATTTTTGCAGTTTACCCATCTGACAAAGGGCTGATATCCAGAGTTTACAAAGAACTCAAACAGATTTACAGGAAAAAACAAACAAGCCCATTCAAAAGTGGGCAAAGGATATGAACAGACACTTTACGAAAGAAGACATATATGAGGCCAACAATCATATGAAAAATGCTCATCGTCACTGGTCATCAGAGAGATGCAAATCAAAACCACATTGAGATACCATCTCACGCCAGTTAGAATGGCGATCATTAAAAAATCTGGAGACAGCAGATGCTGGAGAGGATGTGGAGAAAAAGGAACACTTCTACACTGTTGGTGGGAGTGTAAATTAGTTCAACCATTGTGGAAGACAGTGTGGCGATTCCTCAAGGCCTTAGATTTGACCCAGCAATCCCATTACTGGGTATATATCCAAAAGACTATAAATCGTTCTACTATAAGGACACATGTACACGAATGTTCATTGCAGCACTGTTTACAATAGCAAAGACCTGGAATCAACCCAAATGCCCATTGATAATAGACTGGATTGGAAAAATGTGGCACATATACACCATGGAATATTATGCAGCAATCAGAAATGATGAGTTCGTGTCGTTTGTAGGGACATGGATGAATCTGGAGAACGTCATCCTCAGCAAACTGACACAAGAACAGAAATGAAACACCGCATATTCTCACTCATAGGCGGGTGATGAAAAATGAGAACACATGGACACAGAAAGGGGAGTACTAAACACTGGGGTCTATTGGGGGGAAAAGGGAGGGCCAGTGGGAGGGGGACCTGGGGAGGGATAGCCTGGGGAGAAATGCCAAATGTGGGTGAAGGGGAGAAGGAAAGAAAAGCACACTGCCATGTGTGTTCGTCTTGCATGCTCTGCTCATGTACCCCAAAACCTAAAATCCAATAAAAAATTAAAATAAATAAATAAATAAATAAAAAGAACCCACATTGTAATACTTTGTAAAATGTGTTTACTTTTTTATCATTGGAAAATTAATTACGTACTATGTACAAATTTCTAAAATACTTCACTGCAGTAAATAGTATATAGTATGAATTATTGTTTCTTTTAACATATAATAAACATGGGTAAAACTATTTATATGAATTTAGATCTTTTGGCTTCAATTGCCATTCTACTTTATTAGCACTTCCCTAACTCCATAAAATGTATAATTTGAATTTTTGTTTAATCCAGAATTTATTGAAAATGTTTTTTTTTAATGTGATAATGTTACTATTGCAGTTGAGGACATTTTCAATAAATATCTTAAACTTGAGGTCCTAAGTATTTCTTCTGTACTAGATATCAGATTTCTCTGGCACAACTCCATTACTTGTGATAACATTTAATGGAATCTGCAAATGTCAGGACACCATTTCAACACTGTACCCAGTTGTTCATATCAAATATCTTGTTAGCTATGAAACAAACCAAATATAAATGTTGAATATATAGCACAAATAAAGAGAATCTTCACAGAAAACAACAATAACTAATTTTCTACAATATGTCACCTATTCATTAGTTCTTCAGTAATACCATTTATGCTATTTCAAGTACAAGAAGTTCTTTAACTAGGAGTCAGATTTATTTTTAGAAACTTTTGATGCTTCTTTTGCTGTGCATCTTACTGTGAATATAGGGAGATGAAGACAAATGTACATTAAGTCATAGTGGGCACATGAGTTTTGCTCATATGGTTTTTTGCTTATATGGATGTTGTAAATAACAAGATACAATCATGAAGTTTGATAACTCATCTGTACCTTGTGAACTTTAGTCCACTTAGTTTAAAACTTGATTCAGTCACTATTTATTGGTTTAAAAAATGATTTTAAAAGCTGCAAACAAAACTTTATTACACATTTCTGAATCAGCGAGTGGTAGTTTCCCTTTACCACAGACTGTTTTGTGAAGGAAATTCTGCATAATATAAAATAAATAAGAGTTTCCAAACTGTTTTTAAAAAGCTTGAAATTTTTTCTACAATTAACCTTCTCTCTAGAGTCGCCTTTAATCAGGGCTTGGTCCCTGTGTCATCTTTTTAAGGTTTAGTTTCCTGGAAAATTTCAGCAAACCTCTCCCATGCTTTGTCCAAGTTTGTTTTTTGCTTTGAAGAAGGCAAACATCTTCAGCTGAAGTTGGATGCCTGTCCCCAAGCTGTGCCTCTTGAAGCTAAAGCTGATTGAAGTTCCCATCCTTCCCCAGGCCATCTTTTTTCCAAACAATCTACTTCAACATTTCTGACCTTTGTTGCTGTCAGTAATTCAGAATAAACAGATGCAGGAGAGTCATCTCTTGGGAACGTTTCTTCACTTCTGATCTACTCCCTACGTTTTCCAGCTCCATCTGTATATTTTAGGTGGTTCAATGTCTATTCATCCATCTCAAAATATGTATTTTGAGAACCATATTTTACTTGTACTTTCTTTAATTATTTCTTATTTCCAACTCTTTTTTCTCCTTACTTTGTGTTGAACCAATAAGCATTTGTTTTTTCTTATCAAAACAAAGGTGAGCTCTAACCTGCTGCAGTTCACAGCCATCACAGCTATCACTGCCAGGGCGAATGTGAAAGGGTAACACAGGCTCTCCAAGTTTTACTTCCTGTCTATGCTCAAGGACACAAAGGTCACACTTAATTTTGAGCTAAACAATTTCCATTAACAATTGTTCAATTTGACTGCCGTGATCTACAAGGACATAACATGTAAGTCATGGTTAAAGTAAATTTCTGAATAAAACTTACTGACACCAACTTCAGGGATTCAAAGAGTATGCTTCAGATTATTTTCTCATCTAATTATACCACAGATTTTACAACGGCAATGATAAAAAGTGAATCCTGTCTGCAAACAGGTGATCTAGTGGCAATTACTCTAATACACAGAGGCCAATTTTTTTTTTCATTTACCTCCTCAGTATCTTCTGCAGTGACATAGCCTTTACTGATAATGTGAAGAGGGACGATGCTATGGCCATAAAGGATGCCTGTGGAGCCAGAACGATGGGAGTGCATGCGGTGAAAGGCAAGTCTTGCCCAGGCTGGCTACTGTGGTCCTCTTCAGGATGCCCTGGCACATATTTTCTGGAGCCAAACGGGGCTGTGGACAATGATCAAGGGGACACCTTATGTCCTATCTGTGTGACCTGAAAACTGAAAAAAATCCTTGGGAAAGATTACATCTTCCCCAGCTATAGGAACAGTGGGAGGAGCGTCAGAGTAGTCAAGGGGCCTGAAGCACTCTGCTGTTCTTAGGTTAAGCCAGAAACAGTGGCCAAGAGGGTTGTAAAGAAAGCTTACCTGTGGCTGGATATTATGTACTGATTACTCTTATTTTTATTCCATATTTATTGAGCTATGATTTGCATATTGAAAGTGTATATATTTAGGGTGTACAATAGAGTGCTTAGATGTGTATACATCTTTAAATTATCTCAATAAAGCTAGTAAAACATATCTATGCCTTCACACAGTTGCTTTATACTTTTCTATGTGTGTGGTTAGAGAACATAAGATCAATTTTTTGTAACAAGTCTGAAGTACAATTATTATTAACTATAGTCACTATTCTGCACATTACACCTCCAGCAGTTTTTTAATTATATAACTGAAGATGTGCACCCTTTGATGAGTATCTCCCCAGGTTTCCCCACGCCCTAGCCCATGGAAACTACCTTTGTAGTCTATCTCTTTTCTTTCTTTTTTTTTTAGGATTCCACACACAAAATGAGATTGTGCAGTAGTTTTCTTTCTTCATTTCACTTATTTCACTTAGCATAATCTCTTCAAGGTTTATAAATATTGTTGTAAATAAGACTTTCAATATTAAAGGTGAAATTATCTTTCTCACATGGTTATTAATTTATTTGTATTAGAGGAGTGCAGATGCCCTTACCGATACTAATTTCATGTCCTTTGGCTATATATTCTGAATTGAGATTAGCGGTACTTACAGTTTAAAAATGTTAATGAAACTCTATACTGTTTTTTTAATTATGGCTGCACCAGTGGACATGCTCAGCAACAGTGTAAAAATATTCTCTTTCCTCTGCACCCTAACACTTTTTATCTTTGTATGTTTTGATAATAATTCTCCTTAACCCCACAATAGGTGACATCTCAAGCTGACTTTGATTTCAATTACTCTGATGGTTTGTGATGTTGGGCATCTTTTTATATATCTATGGGCCATTTGTATGTCTTTGGAAAATGACTATTTAGATGTTCTGCCCAATTAATAAGGAAATAGGTTTTTGTTTTGTTCTACTGTGTGTTTTGTATTGATTCATATTACCTATATTTTGAATAGTAACATATTATTCTATGTATGGTTTACAAATATGTTATTCCATCCAATATATTGCCTTTTATTTTGCTGATTTTTTCTTTAGTGTGCAGAAATTTTTACTTTGATATAGTTTCACTTTTTTTTATTTTTGCTTTTGTTGCTTGTGTTCTATGTGTAAATCCAAAAAATCATTGCCATGTCCAGTGTTGAACAGCTTTTTCCTATTTAATTTTTAGGGGATTCATGATTTCAATTCTTATGTTTAAGTCTTCATTTGAAAAGTCATTTTGTGATGATATGAGAAAGGTTTGCTTTTTGTATGTGCATATCTTAGTTTTTTCTACACTATTTCTTGATGTGTCTATCTTTTCCTAATTTTGTGAAATCAGGTGACTGTGTATGTGTGAGTTTATTTCTGGGTTCTCTGTTCTGTTCCGTTTGTTTTTATATAGGTTCTATACTATTTTGATGACTATTACTTTGTAATACAGTTTGAAAGCAGAAAGTTTGAGGCTTTCAGTCTTTTTGTTCTTCTTATTATTTGGCTATTTGGGGTCTTTTTGTGGCTCCATACTAATTTTACAATTGTTATACATTATCTTAACAGTATTCAAATTTTGATTAAAAATATTTAATCTGTAGATTACTTTGTGTAGCAGATATTTTAACAATATTAATTTTTAGAATCAATGAACACAGGATCTATTTCCAATTTTCTCAATATTATTTTTTCATCAACATTTGGTAGTTTTCAGCATGCAAATCTTTAATATTCTTGGTTAAGCTTATTCTATTTAATAAATTAAGTATTTTATTCTACTTGATAACATTGTAAATGAAATTGTTTTCTTAATCCCTTTTCAGATTTTGTGTTGTTATTGTATTAAAATCCCACTGATTTTCCTGTTAAGGTATCTTGCAACTTTACTGAATTAGCTTGTTAGCTATAACAGAGTTTAGTTGTTTTGGTGGTGATGGTAAAATGGTGGGTTATTCTTACCCTAGTTATACTTTAAGTTGATGATGGCTATTATTATTTTATAATTTTAAAAAATGTAACCGATAGGTTTCTGCTGTCAGAAATTCAGTGCAATTTAAATTTTTTTTTCTTTTTTTTTTTTGAGATTGAGTCTAGCACTGTCACCTGGGCTGGAGTGTAATGGTGCAATTTTGGCTCATTGCAACCTCCACCTCCCAGATTCAAGCAATTCTGTCTCAGCCTCCTGAGTAGTTGGAAATAACAGTCAATCACCATCATGCCTGGTTAATTTTTTTGTATTTTCAGTAGAGATGGTGTTTTTCTCATAACTGTGAGCTGGACCCAATTACATGTGACAATCTCTCCTGTGGTCAGGAACCAGTAGGGAGAGTCACATAAACTAGGTACTGGGCCAGTGATATGTCAGTATTTTTTCTGTGGGCAGGACCCCAGCAATAAAATTTAACATCTCCTGGGTGCTAGGTAAAGCAATATGTCAACAATCTAGTCTGTAAACATGTTCCAGGCAGAAGACAGTCACATCACCTAGGTGGTGAGCCCCATAACATGTCACTATTTTTCCTGTAAACTACTCCAGGACACACACACACAAAAAATGGTCACATCACATAGGTAATGGCCCAAAGATATCTCACAGTAATCTCTCTGGACTGGCTTAAAAAGGAAAGGGAGAGTCATATCACTTAGGTGACTGGCCCAGATATATGTCACAATATCCACTGAGGGCAGACAGAGCCCAGGCAGAAATGTCACATAATCTAGGCCCTCAACCCAGGTATAGTTCACAATCTAATGTGTAGCCTGGACCTCAGCAAAAAAGTAAAACCAATCAGGGTTTGAGTAAGGAATAATGTTACAACTACACCTTTGGTAAAAGTCAAGAGATAAAATTTACAATCCTACAAACCTTTCCCAGCTCCAGGTTCAGAGTCAATACTTACTGGGAGTTTTGGTCCAAAAGGCAAGTAACAACCTCAACAATGAACTGGATCCATACATGACACCCCACTTGCAGACACTGTAAAAGAGTCAAAAGATCACAGGAGTGCCAAATCTTGGCCCAAGAGTCACCATCCTATCTTTGTACAGAGTTCACACATTGATAGTAACAATGCCAGCTTTTGGACTGTCTTTGGATGTGAAATTCCTAGAACCACAAGAGTAGACAGTGTTTCATTTCTAGAGGTGAAAATTGGTTGGCTGGTTGTGCATACATAAGTAACTATCTCACCTGTGCTTTGAGCCCTGTTATGACACTCTTTGTACCAACTGAAGGCATTGTAAGGTATGTGTAAAAGTCACAATACTCTCTGAGACCCACATGCTTACATGGACCCACAATTTTATTTATTTCACTAAGCCCAGAAAGAGATAACATCTCCTTTATTGGCTGTGTCCAGGTATAAAATTCATCACTGTCCTTGTGAACGGGGTCCAGGAATTAGTTATCACTTTTGCTTGTGAAGTAAATTCCAAATACAACAGTCAAAATTTCAACTGTGGACTGCATTCATGACAGACTCAGGGCCTCAGCAGTGGGCATTGTCCATATTTGAGGGTGACAAACTTAACTTTGACCAGAACCTGCATGTGAGTCACAATTTAAATGTTGTGGTGAGCTTATTTGAGATATTCTGTACACCTAAGAGAAATATACCATATGCTAGCGGGTTTCATAGTCCTCTGATATTTCTAGGCCAGAAAACCCAGGACCATATCCATTGCCCCAAGCCTAGCCCTAGTCAACATTTTCTTTTGGTTTGGTCTAGGTACAACAGTCAACACCATGCTTTTGTGACTGGTTCCAGATATTAGGGGGGGGGTCACCATTCAGCCTGCTGTCAGTCACAGTTCCAACTGTGATGCACTCATAATGTGCAGGTGACATATTCCTAGGCAAAAAGGGACCAGTCAAGGAAAGGAATCACATCTACTAGGTGCTGGGCCCAGTAGTAATATGTCACATCCCCAGGTAAGCAGGTCCAAGGCAAAGAGAGATGGATATATTAGCTATGTGATGGGACCATAAATATGTAACAATCCCCCTTGTGGGCTAAA